GCTTCCGGGACATGTGGCCAGCAGGACTAAGCCGCTTCTGGCGAACCAGAGCAGCGCACGGAAACGCCGTTTAGCTTCCCGTCGGAGCAGTACCTATTTATCTACTTGCACTTTAGTCATACTGGCCACATGACCCGGAAGCTGTACGCCGGCTCCCTCGGCCAATAAAGCGAGATGAGCGCCGCAACCCCAGAGTCGTCCGCGACTGGACCTAACGGTCAGGGGTCCCTTTACCTTTACCTTTTACCTACAGTGGGCCTATATTTACAGCTGCCCCCCTGACATCTTGGGTGTGCATATGCCCCCATTAGGGATACCACGTGGTATCTTTGAATGTTATTTGGCTCTGAGATCATCTATTCAGATCCACTCTTCAACTGGAGGGGAAAAGCAAACAAAGAAAGCAGCTTCTTCCATTGACAGTTCAGCAAAAAGGCACCTCCCGTTTCTGATCTTCGCGAACAGGCAAGAGCATGTTAAGCTTCCACGGGGTTTCTTGTGAAATCCAATATGCTGAGATCAGCCCGTCCTTCGCAACCTGGATCTGGTTACTTCAGACAATCCCTCCCTCCCGATTTCTCATTTTTAGTCAGCTCAGACAACAGCCAGCCAGCCTCCTCTTGCGACACCTGGGCCGCCGGCCAGCGTTATAAAGGTATGAGAGTTTTGTGGTTAAGAGATTTGTGCTCATAGAGATGGGAGACACAGAGGCATACCAACAAACGAACGTGTTTGCATTAGGGGATGTCCTGAAGTAGAGGACCTTATGCATTATATCTGGCGCTGCCCCTTATATAACAAAGCAAGAGAACAATTTTTAGCACCTATAAGGACAAGGTCCCCTGGCCAGAACCCCTCTGACATGATTTTATATCTCCTCGCAGACATAGATAAGTATGTGGCGTGTAGCACTCTTTGCAACTGCCGCTAGGAAAATTATATAGCCAAGATAGCCACCAAATGTAAAGGAGATGAATTTATTTGACCCTATCTACATCAAGCTATATTCTGTCTTTATCACCAAACTCCGGATATAATTGCACGTTGTATTAATTAACATTATTTTTTAATATATTAGTGACCATGTGGTGATTTTAGCCTATACAGTGGTACCTCGGGTTACAGATGCTTCAGGTTACAGACTCCGCTAACTCAGAAAAGTACCTCGGGTTAAGAACTTAGCTTCGGGATGAGAACAGAAATCGTGCTCCAGCGGCGCAGCGGCAGCGGGAGGCCCCATTAGCTAAAGTGGTGCTTCAGGTTAAGAACAGTTTCAGGTTAAGAACGGACCTCCAGAACGAATAAAGTTATTAACCCGAGGTACCACTGTAAATTCTATTGTTTAATGTCTTAACCTGTATATTAAGGTACTTTTATAGCTCTGTTAGAGTAGGTAATGTCTTGATAATATAACTGTTTTAAGTTTTTTTGTATTAATCCAGCAGATTTCCTTTTAATTGTGAATGATTCTGTGTACATTGCGGCAGCCTTTGGCTGTGTGCAATAAAATTGACTGACTGACTGCCCAAGCACAAGAGTCCTCTGCCCTCCTGCAGTTAAACTGGGATTCAGGATACTGTCTCTGTCCTTTGGAGACAGAGCAAAGCCATCCTGGCTAGCAGGCATCAGTTGCCATCTCCATTAATTTTTCTAACTCTCTTCTAAAGCCATCCAAGTGGATTTCCATCGCTGCCTCCTGGGCGCAGTGAATTCCATAGCTTCTCTGTCCTGTGTGTTCATTTTATCTGCCCTGAGTGCTGCAGTTTCATTAAAATTATAAGTCACCTGGTGTCAGGTGATTGATAGGTGGACAGCCCTGCCCTGTCAAATCTGGGGAGATGAAGATCTGGCCTATTGTCCAGAAAGAAATGCCTCAATCTTGTTTGCAGCCCTAGACATCATCATCATCATAATTTATTACTTATACCCCGCCCATCAGGCGGGGTTTCCCCAGCCACTCTGGGCGGCTTCCAACAGGATATTAAAAACACAGTAAGACATCAAACATTAAAAATGTCCCAGAACAGGGCTGCCTTCAGATGTCTTCTAAAAGTCAGACAGTTGTTTATTTCCTTGACATCTGATGGGAGGGCGTTCCACAGGGCGGGCGCCACCACTGAGAAGGCCCTCTGCCTGGTTCCCTGTAACCTTGCAGTGAGGGAACCACCAGAAGGCCCTCGGAGCTGGACCTCAGTGTCTGGGCAAAACGATGGGGGTGGAGACGCTCCTTCAGGTATACTGGACCAAGGCCATTTAGGGCTTTTAAGATCAGCACCAACACATGGAATTGTGCTTGGAAACGTACTAGGCTCTCACTTGTGGGGTGCCTCAGGGTTCTGTCCTCTCCCCCATGCTTTTTAATATCTATATGAAGCCGCTGGGAGAGATCATCAGGGGGTTTGGGCTGGGTGTTCATCAGTATGCAGATGACACCCAGCTCTACCTCTCTTTTAAATCAGAACCAGTGAATGCGGTGAAGGTCCTGTGTGAGTGCCTGGAGGCAGTTGGAGGATGGATGGCGGCTCACAGATTGAGGTTGAATCCTGACAAGACAGAAGTACTGTTTTTGGGGGACAGGGGGTGGGCTGGTGTGGAGGACTCCCTGGTCCTGAATGGGGTAACTGTGCCCCAGAAGGACCAGGTGCGCAGCCTGGGAGTCATTTTGGACTCACAGCTGTTCATAAAGGCGCAGGTTAATTCTGTGTCCAGGGCGGCTGTCTACCAGCTCCATCTGGTATGCAGGATGAGACCCTCCCTGCCCACAGACTGTCTTGCAGGTGACCCTTTGAAGGTGACCCGGAAACTGCAATTAATCCAGACTGGTGACTGGAAGTGGCTGCCGAGACCATATAACACTGGTCCTGAGAGATCTTCATTGGCTCCCAGTACATTTCCGAGCACAATTCAAAGTGTTGGTGCTGACCTTTAAAGCCCTAAACAGCCTCAAAGGCCCAGTAGACCTGAAGGAGCATCTCCACCTCTGTCGTTCTGCCCGGACACTGAGGCCCAGTGCCGAGGGCCTTCTGGTGGTTCCCTCACCGCGAGAAGTGATGTTACAGGGAACCACGCAGAGGGCCTTCTCAGTGGTGGCGCCCGCCCTGTGGAATGCCCTCACTTCAGATGTGAAGGAAATAAGCAGCTATCTTATCTTTAAAAGACATCTGAAGGCAGCCCTATTTAGGCAAGTTTTTAATATTTAATGCTGTATTGTTTTTAACACTTGATTGGGAGCTGCCCAGAGTGGCAGCTCAGCCAGATGGGTGGGGTATAAATAAATTATTATTATTATTATTATTATTATTATTATTAGCCAATGTAGGTCTTTCAGGATCGATGTTATGTGGTCTCGGCGGCCGCACCCAGTCACCAGGGACTCCAATGTTGAGGGCAAGGTAGGGTTGTTCTGTTCCTTCGAAGGCCATTTACGATAACCTTTATTGTCATTGTCCCATACAGAACAACAAAATTGAAAAAATCTACACCAGACATTCCAAACCCCACAAGCCTGCTATCCCAGCCTAGTTAGCCCCCTAAAAACTCTGATACCCCATAATTAAATACAATATACTCCCACATAGACCACTTTATGCTGCGTTTAAAACCAAATTGCATTTGGGTAGAAACTGTTTCTCAGGCGGCTAGTCCTAGTCTTTATAACCCTGGACCTTCTTCCAGAAGGCAGAAGCTGAAAGAGATCATTTCCGGGGTGCGCACTATCCTGCGCTATCTCTGCAGCTTTCTTATGGCACCTGGAAGCATAGATTTGATCCAAGGTGGGAAGAGTGCACCAAATTATTCTCTCCGCAGTCTTTACAACCCTGGACGGCATTGTTTCTTCCTTGGCCGTGCAGCTCCCAAACCACACACACAGACCATAAGTTAATACACTCTCAACAGTACAATGGTAAAATGTCTACGTTTTTATATGCAGATTCAGACACGGGGAAGTGGGTCTCTTAAGAGTATATAGCAGCACGTCGTTTCCCACCACAAATTTAATCCAAGCAAGTTATTAATGGGAATTATCCATCAGCAACACACCCAGTTTTCTTGGAACACCCTAATAGCACCATGCAATCAAAGGCAGGCGTGCTGCTTTTATAATCTCCCTTCTTGAGCTTGTCAAAGGTGCAGAGTTATGACACAAGGAGCCCTGGAGCATAACTTCCCAATGCAATAAAATAATTAAAAAATTGTCCAGTAGCACCTTAGAGACCAACTGAGTTTGTTCTGGGTATAAGCTTTCGTGTGCATGCATACTTCTTCAGATTCCCAATGCAATGCAAGTTAACATCACGTTAGATTAAGGTTACTAGATTTTTTTCAATGAATCCGGGGACATCATAAATAAATAAGTACGTAAGTAAGTAATAAATAAATACTACACATTTGATACGCTGATGCTGCAAGTAATGGCGGTGGCAGAGGGGCAGCCTCTGCCTTGACCGCAACCACCACGTTTTACCTTCTTCCAAAGTTTGAAACACAAATCAGATCTGGCAGCAACCTACCTAACCTGGATCAGGAAGGCGTGTTGAATTTCTCAACTTTCAAGTTCCAAAAATGAAATTTAGTTTTGACTGGTAAATAAGATGCGTGTAAAATTGCATAGAAATAATTAAAATAATTGTCAAGTACTTGCTGTTATATATTATTATTATTATTAATAATAATAATAATAATATTTAGCATTACCCGGCATTTTCAGAAGGTAATTAAATTAAAATTCTTTGGCTTTCCGAATGCAGTTTATGTGCTTCTATATCAAACGTACATTTTACAAGCTGAATGTTGTCCAATCACAAAGATAATAGCAAATTTGAATTCCTTACATTCCCCCCCCCAAAAAAATTGTAAGACCCTCACTGAAGAAATTTGCAAAATTCAAGTTTTCCCACCAGGTCGGTTGTGAAACTGGGTCATCTAATTCTTTCCCTGTGGCCAAACCACTGAATTAGTCTGAACTTGCAGTTACTTATGAGAACACAATTAAAGAAAACCACACAGCTAAACAGTGTTGTTTATTAAAATACCAAGTGAAACAGGTAAATATAAGAAAATGCATTTAATACTGATATAAATCATTTCACTGTATGTACACAGAGCTCACAGCAGGGTGTTTCCTAGGCAGTATTATAAATGACAATATTACAGATCAACTGGACCGTCCATAATAGGAAATATTTCAAGGTTTGAAAATGTCTCTTTATCACCAAAACATAAAACTACCCTCAAATCTAGTTTTTCCTCTTTAAAGTCTTTATACAATTAGGATAATCCTGTGAATCCACTGCAACAGATTCATACGCAGAAAATCCTGACTTCATTAAGGTAACAGTGTTTTACAGGTAGAATGTTCTTAAGTCAAACATTTTCCGTACCTTCAAAGCTATTGAATTAGCTTTCATTATCCAATTTGCATAAGTTTCCTCATCAACGAATTGGACAGTACCAAGTTTTACAATGCATTTATGTTTTCCACCTTTCAAAGTGTGGCTTCACATTAAATACAGCAGCAACTAAAAGAGGGAAGGCTTAACTGAGAGTTCCATTTTCCCCAAGGAAAGAAGGCTATTAGATGTAGGGTTATTATTCTATTAATGTCTATAGTCACTACCATCAGCCAGAAAAGAGAATTCTAAGCTTTAGTAGGTCAACTGAGCACATGGTATGCATAGTTTTGCCAAAGATATCTATCCAATAGAAGAAAAATGAATAGGCTAGATCCAACTCGTTACTGATCTGCAAGATCATTTATTGCAGAATAGGAAACATTCCAAGACAGAAGAAAGAGATTCTTCTTTCAAGGAAGCGGTGGCGTAATTTTTGTTGATTTATGAATTGCCTTTCACATAAGTCTCAGGATTTACAGACATGAAACAGAAAGAATTACGATTGGTTTAAAAACGATAAGGGCAAGACCGAGGCTGTGCTCACACCATACATGGAAAGCACACACGTCCACCACAAAAAAATATTTCTGGGAGCTATAGTTTGTTAAGGGTGCTGGGAATGGTAGTTCGGTAGGGAGGAAACTACAGTTCCCATGATTCTTTGGGGGGAGTGTTTTAGATGCATTGTGTGTATACATCCCTGAAAAAACTACAGTTCCCAGAATTCTTTGGGTAACAGTGGCTGGAGACAGCCAGGTGGTGTGACCAAAGGAGGAATGACCACTTGGAGGAGAGCAGAGAAGAAACGGCCTGGTGCGTCTGCAGCAGCTGGACGCCTCCATCTTCCCCAGCTGCAACAAAACATGGCTCTCCTGTATCGGTCTCTACAGCCACAGCAGGCGCTTTAACTCTCCAATGGTCTGACTTCACCCCCAAAGGCGCACTCCTCCATTGTCTCCTGAGACAGAAGCCAACCAATTCTAGTCGATGGGTCAGTCCCAAATTCTTAAGGCAACAAGTAGCAGGGTGGGTTGGATTGGTACGAAAGTAATTTAAAAATCAAGAAATCTTCTGCTGTCTCGACGGATGCCAACTCTGCATATTGCTGATTGTTGGCTCAAAATTAAGAGAACCAACCATTTTCTTGGTAAAACGCTTCTGGATAACAAAAGCATTCTCCCTCTGTGCAACCTATTTGTGTTTCCTAGGATCATGTACAAACTGCCTGTGTGTGAAAGAGCACTGCAGGGGGTTAGACTAGATGACTCATGGGGCCCCTCTTCCAACTCTACAATTCTGTGAGTCTAAGAATCTATGGTTTCCATGTAAGGATTGCCATGGTAACTTGATGAACTCATTAACTCTAAACAGTATATTATAAAAGCTACAGTAGAAAAGAGGGCGAAACTCAAAGAGTCAAGCATATAAATTTTATAAAAATAGAATTAGCTGGCTTTTAAAAATATACTTTATTGAGCCTCAGTAAGATTTGTACATAATAAAGAAAAATAGCAAAAGATCCTGACACAACTGCATTTCGTCCAAATCTCTTCCTTGCTGCTTACATATCAGTTATTTCTGAGTACACTATGATTTATATTTTAATTTTCAATGGATGGATGTTCTCTTTTTTGAATTAGAGCAAGAAACAAAGAAGAGGACCCATATTTTGATCTAAAAAATATTGATTCTTTCCTTCTTTTAAGCAAATGGTGATGGATGGAGACTTTCATGTAACTGCCATCCTACTTTCAAAAATACCTATCATGATAGAAATCTGTGTGTCGCACTGCATCAAGCTACATGCCAGTCCAAATCTGAAATTTTGGGGAAATTCCAGAGTTTATAGATTTCTGGATCTAGTTGCAATTTCTGTGAAGTTTCACGCTCCCCTCCTCAACAAGACGATCCTGTACATACGGTAAGTTGGCATATTCAAATCAAAGAAAACTCTAATAAGCCTGGTTAATATTTTAAGACACACATTTAACACACATTTGCTAGTTAACACTGTATTACCTTATTTAGAGGGAGCGGGGTTGGAATTACAGGTTTTAAGATTTTGTACATCTCCTCTGCGTTGCAACTATTCCATTCTCAAGCAATCCTCCCAAGCTCAATCTTTATCAATAAAAAAATAACTTTGGTGTCTATGAAAAAAAAAAAAAGATTCAGCTTCTGGCTTCAGAACATACAATTTGTGCATCTTACAGTTTTGCTGCCATAGTCTATACACTCTGGTCCAATACATTCGCAGCAGGCGTTGTGAAACCATCGGTATTTTGATGCTCCCATAGATTCGCAGGAGCTCTTGCACTGATGCACCGACATGCAGTCGTCGAAGTAAACCACCGTGCACGTGGCTTCTAAACGAAGAGAGCGAGAAAGGCACTTTAGTCTGCTGAGAAAAGCTCAAGCTGCCAATCATTCAGACAATGGAACCAATAACTTAATTTTCAGCTTAATTCAGGGTGAATGGAACAGCTTTTTTCCTTGATCCAAACACACCTGTCAGTTTTGAAATAACGTTTAAAATAAAGTCCCGTATTTTTCACTCTATAAGACGCACCAGACCATAAGATGCACCTAGTTTTTGGAAGAGGAAAACAAGAAAAAAAAATATTCTGAATCCCATAAGCCAGGACAGCAAGCGGGATAGCAGCGCAGCGATCCCACTGGCTGTCCTGGCTTATGGGATAGCCACGCGCAGCCTCTCCCAGGCAAGGGGAGCCTTCATCCCCTGCCCGGGAGAGGCTGCGCGCGGCTAAGGCTCCCCCAAGAGCCGCGCTCCCTTTAAAGAGCGCGCGAGCGTGTGTGCGGCTCTTTAAAGGGAGCGCTGAGCAGAGCCTCCCGCCTGCATTCGCTCCATAAGACGCTCACACATTTCCTCTTACTATTTAGGAGGGGGAAAGTGTGTCTTATAAAGCGAAAAATACGGTATGTCCCGTGTGGAATTATTGCAGTAGCAAAATCGGAATAACCATTGTCTCCTTCTGCTCTGCACACTCTTATCCAGGCATCCCCAAACTCGGCCCTCCAGATGTTTTGGGACCACAATTCCCATCATCCCTGACCACTGGTCCTGTTAGCTAGGGATGATGTGAGTTGGAGTCCCAAAACACCTGGAGGGCCGAGTTTGGGGATGCCTGCTCTTATCTATTTATCTCTCCCCCCTTCTCTGGAGACCTTGGGCTGCGATACAGCAGAGAAAGTAAACACAACACTAAATATTAAAAATCAGTTCGAAAGACCCATTGGTTGCAGCCACAACATATCGTATTTTTCACTCTATAAGGCACACCAGACCATAAGACGCCCCTAGTTTTTGGAAGATGAAAACAAGAAGAAGAAAAATTCTGAATCCCAGATGCCAGGACGGTTCAGGAATCAGTGTGTTTTTACATGAGTAGAAAGTGTGCTTTTATTTAAAATGCATCTCTGGGTTATTTGTGGGGCATAGGAATTCGTTCATTCTTTCCCCCCCCCCCAAAAAAATATAGACCGGCCCCCCGCAAGGTCTGAGGGACAGTGGACCGCCCCCCTGCTGAAAAAGTTTGCTGACCCCTGATTTTAAAGCTTTTCTCCAAAAAATCCTGGGAGGAACAGTTTACCCTCACAGAACTACAGTTCCCAGCACCCTGACCAAACTACAGTTCCTAGGACTCTCTGAGGGAAGCCATGGGATTCAAATGTAGGCAGTAATTCACCATAATCCGTGGACCAGACATAGCCCCACACTTTGGAACCATGACAATGCTTGGCTGTACAGTGGTACCTCGGGTTACATACACTTTGGGTTACATACGCTTCAGGTTACATACTCCGCTAACCCAGAAATAGTACCTCGGGTTAAGAACTTTGCTTCAGGATGAGAACAGAAATCGTGCTCCAGCGGCGCGGCAGCAGCAGGAGGCCCCATTAGCTAAAGAGGTGCTTCAGGTTAAGAACAGTTTCAGGTTAAGAATGGACCTCTGCAACAAATTAAGTACGTAACCAGAGGTACCACTGTACTTTAAAACAGCAGCTAACGCATCATTCTTCCTTCCTCTCTTTTCCAAACGAACGAACTCAACCCCAATTCTAAGAGCTCAGTCTTCACACAGCAGCCTGCTTACCTTTGTCGCTGGAGAACGGCGTGTGGACGTTGTTGCTTGAAACGGAGACGTTCTGGTGTTGGGGGTGGTTCACCGACTCTAAAATGGAGACCAAGTTCTCGTGGTGGGACAGCTCTTCCGCGACGGGGAACGAAACAATATTCCAGTGCAGCTGGGTATCCCCTTCTGTAAGTGCTCGGAAAAGCGAGGGGATCGGCCCGTGCAGTTCCTCAACGGTACTCTTGGACGTGGGAGGCGTGTCGCTATAATTGCGAGGGTTGCACATACCTGGAGGTGAGCAAAATGAATCAATCAATCTTTATTACGGTCCAGAGACCCAACAAATCATTACAAATCAATACACAATTCATACAGCCTACCTCCAGGTTAATCAAGCATTTTGTTTAGAATATAGGGCTCGTTTGTTCTTGCAACCACCGATAAAGTTCTGTGGTGCCCAGTTCTGGGCACCACAGTTCAAGAAGGACATTGACAAACTGGAACGTGTCCAGAGGAGGGCAACCAAAATGGTCAAAGGCCTGGAAACGATGCCTTATGAGGAACGGCTAAGAGAGCTGGGCATATTTAGCCTGGAGAAGAGGAGGTTAAGGGGTGATATGATAGCCATGTTCAAATATATAAAAGGATGTCACATAGAGGAGGGAGAAAGGTTGTTTTCTGCTGCTCCGGAGAAGCGGACACGGAGCAATGGATCCAAACTACAAGAAAGAAGATTCCACCTAAACATTAGGAAGAACTTCCTGACAGTAAGAGCTGTTCCGACAGTGGAATTTGCTGCCAAGGAGTGTGGTGGAGTCTCCTTCTTTGGAGGTCTTTAAGCAGAGGCTTGACAACCATATGTCAGGAGTGCTCTGATGGTGTTTCCTGCTTGGCAGGGGGTTGGACTCGATGGCCCTTGTGGTCTCTTCCAACTCTATGATTATATATGATTATATGAAAGGCTTTGCCGCTGCTAACGTTCTAGCTTTTGTCCGGTCTTCCAGTAGGAACCTGACATAGTGAGCCTCTGATTTTCCCGGGAAAGGTACCAGCAAGAGTAGTATCAGTTCAGCCCTGGCCTGCTCATATTTTGTACAATGCAACAAAATATGATTTATGGAATCGATGTCTTGAGCACACGAGCAAAGTCTGTCCTGGTAGGGAACGCCTCTCAACCTACCATCCAACACTGCAGAGGAGAAGACATTTAGTCTGGCTTTGGTGAAAAGCCTTCGGTAGTTAGGTACTGTCAGGTTTTTGATGTAAGATGTTAACTTAAAGACATACCCATATTGAACTCCTACTGCCAGCGGACTACAGACTGCGTGTGATCGAGATCGCAAGTCACTGTGTGCATTGTCCCATAATCTTTGCTTTAAAATCTTTTGGGCGCCTTCATAACCCAGGTAATACAGTTGGGGGGGAGACAGACCAATAGAGGTGGCTTTTTTAGCCATGGTTTTCTGCCATTTGCTGACAAATTCCTCATTGGTCAGGTGTTGGTACAAAATGAAAAGAAAACACACCTATAAGAAGCAGCATTTTTTGGAAAGGCGAAATGTTCAACTTCAAATCATGAGTGGGGAGCGCTGGTAAGACCTGAAGCTTATTTATTTATTTCACACAGTTTATACACCGCTCTACCGTGTAGGAAAGCCCTCAAGACAGTTTAAATAAAAAGTTCGTCTTGCCCCTTTCACCTTCCAGGTACAGTGGTACCTCGGGTTAAGTAATTAATTCGTTCCGGAGGTCCGTTCTTAACCTGAAACTGTTCTTAACCTGAAGCACCACTTTAGCTAATGGGGCCTCCAGCTGCCGCCGCGCCACCAGAGCACGACTTCTGTTCTCATCCTGAAGCAAAGTTCTTAACCTGAAGCACTATTTCTGGGTTAGCGGAGTTTGTAACCTGAAGCGTCCGTAACCTGAAGCGTCCGTAACCCGAGGTACCACTGTACTTATTTTGGGTGATGCTTGAGTCTGTAGCATGGCTAATCTCTTTAAAGGAGCAAGCGCATAGCTTGGAGATATTCCAGGGTAAAGCTTTTCCATTAGACAAGGTGCCTTTTACCAGCTCCCAACCAACAGCCCATCTGGATCAGGATAACTTCAACACTGTAGTAGTACATGCACTGGTAACCTTAAGGCTGGATTACTGCAATGTGCTTTAAGAAGCAAAAAATACCAAGACATCACCTTCCATTTAAGCCTGGTGGAAAAGGGTAGGCAGCTTTTGGGGGGGAGGACACACTATGAACCTCAAGTTTCTTATTCTGTCTCACAGACACCAAAGCCTTTTTTGCCTCCTTGTGACACAGGATGAAATTACAAATCACCTTTTCTTGGGAAAGTGTCAAATTTGTGCAAAGCTTCTTTGATCACAATTCAAGAATGCAATTTTGTTTACCCAGGAGTTTAATCTCTTGCCAGAATTACAGAAGCAACTTCACTAGCCAAAGGTGTGACATAAGCACATAGTCAATGACACATGAGACACTGCTTCCATTTCACGGCATAGCTAAATATACTCCATGCCATATGCATGAAAGCTCTATTGAAAGTATCACTTTCCTCATTTAATGCACTTTGAAAAACACATCTGTACGAACTCACCAGCATCTTACTTTAGGGTAATAATAGCATACGGATTACTTTCCCAAACACAACGTGTGTGTGTGCGTGCTCTCATACACACAGTTTAAAAGTACAGTGGACACTCGGGTTGCAAACGTGATCCGTGCGGGATGCACGTTCGCAACCTGCAGCGGCGCATCTGCGCATGTTGCAATTCAGCGCTTCTGCGCATGCGCAAAGTACAATTTAGCGCTTCTACGCGACTGCCGAAATCCGGAAGTAACCCGTTCTGGTACTTTCGGGTTTCGGCGGTCCGTAACCCAAAAAAACCCCACAACCTGAAGCATCTGTAACATGAGGTATGACCGTAACAGGATGTAGAAACTAAATTCTGAAGAATTGTTTTGTTGTATTTGGCTGCTAAACTACAAAAATAGCATCACAATCCATTTATTCTGCACGGCCCCCACTATTTTACACCAGTCGTTTTCAACCAGTGCGCCATTGCCCCCTGGGATGCGTTGAATGATGGCCAGCCCAAGGTGGAGGAGACGCAGGGAATCATTAACTTCTGCACATGACCCCCCCCCCCACACTTCACATCCATCCCGGGAGACAGCATGAAAAACGGACTATTTAGCCAAAATAACCCTCGGCTGTATAAATTCAGGATTTGGGTCAGTGGTCAGGAGAACAGGCTGTCAGATACAAATATGGTAAAAATCAACATCATCTCCATTTGGCCTACAGCAGCCTGAAATACTGCATAAATAAGCCACAAGGCTCTGAAACATCAGCCATAAGGAAACTTAATCAGTGGGACAGGGCAGGCTCTAGTAGGGGGCTCAATTCATGAATTACCAAAACAGTGTGGTTAAGCGAAATTAATCTCCCCTGTATGCTTGTGAAGTGGAACACAGGATGGATGAACAACCAAGTTCTTTGACACCCCACTGCTGCCCCCTCCCTTCTACGGAACAAGTCACCCTTGATGTGGGGAAGAGCGACGTCATTGCACCTCAGTCCTGTGGTTCCTGTTTGGGGAAGCTACTGGAATAGTGCATGATTCAGCTCATAGGGCAGCAGCAACTATATCGCTCTTCCAACATACGAACGGGACCATAGACACAGATGTGTAGAGCTGTTTCTCCGTCCCTAATACAGTGGATGCTTGGGTGGAGAATGTGCGGGTTGCAATTCGGTGCTTCTGCGCACGCGCGACTTAGCACTTTTGCACATGCGCAATCGCCAAAACCCGGAACTAACCCATTCCAGTACTTCTGGGTTTCGGCGAATCCGTAACCTGAAGCATCTGCAACCCGAGGTATGACTGTAAATCTAGCTCATGGGTATACCCTAGGGATGCGGGTGGCGCTGTGGGTTAAACCACAGAGCCTAGGACTTGCCGATCAGAAGGTCGGCAGTTTGAATCCCCGCGACGGGGTGAGCTCCCGTTGCTCGGTCCCTGCTCCTGCCAACCTAGCAGTTCGAAAGCACAGTGCAAGTAGATAAATAGGTACCGCTCCGGTGGGAAGGTAAACGGCATTTCCGTGCGCTGCTCTGGTTCGCCAGAAGCGGCTTAGTCATGCTGGCCACATGACCCGGAAGCTGTATGCCGGCTCCCTCGGCCAATAAAGCAAGATGAGCGCCGCAACCCCAGAGTCGGTCACGACTGGACCTAATGGTCAGGGGTCCCTTTACCTTTATACCCTACTTTTTTCCAGTGAGTGCCATGGCTAGCCCTGACATGGCACCAGACATGATGAACCAGACACCCCAAAGGGCAAGGACCCTGAGTAGCAGGCAGGGTTCCCTGAATCCAGTGATGGGGATCTGCTTGAGGGGGCCCCTCCAGACAGAGGCTTGATGGAGAACCCCCAGATCTACCAGAGGAGGCGTTGGAGCTACTCCTCAGTCCTCTAGACGGTCCCGTAGACCACCAATTGGGAACCCACTGCCCTAAAGCCCTGGATTCTGTGTATGCTCTGCTCTATTGTATTGACATGGCTCTTAAAAGCCACAGATCCAAAGCAGTCGACATGAGTATCTGAAGCAGCCAAGGCCGTATTAGGTGATAAAGAACGAATGAACTTACCAACACAGTCACAGCACTCGTCCCACAGTGTGCCCAGACACAACATGCACTCCTTGCAACAGGAACAGTTCCCTTCAACAGGCCGGCATTGACACAGCTCCTGGAAACACAACACACAAGTTAGATATTTCTGCGCATAAAATACCAAGGGAGACAAATGCCTTCCCCCACAACTGCCACAGTTAGGAACATGCATAGGAAGCTTTGTTAGGAACGTACATAGGAAACAAATATTCTGCTTTGTTTTCCCGTCCCCCCCCCCCCCCACTTTTGTTGCACTATAGACTCTCCAGACAGCAATAATGTGGTAACATTGGGCGGTGGGGGACGGTGGGGAATCACAGAGCAGAATAAATCCACCACCAAGGCATTATTGTGTCAAAAATATGTTGCAAAATACACCTGCAATAAAGCTCCAGCCTGGAGAGGCCCTTATCCATATACAATTGCAAAAACAGCCACACAAACCATTATTTAAGAGGGGTTGTTTTTAATTGCACATTTGCTATGTACCGTGCAGATAGCAAATCATCTTTTTGGCTCCACTACCATTTGGAAGCACAGTAACTTCTGCTATGCAAAATTACCATGTATTATTTAATAAAACTCTCACCAGTGCAAGTATATATATTAATAAGTGTTTAAAATAAAGTAGGATGTACTCAAGCTATATTGCATAGCTCTAGTTTCCCCCCTGCTAGCTCACTGTAATGCATATAAGCCAGGCTTCCTCAAGCTCGGCCCTCCAGATGTTTTGAGACTACAATTCCCATCATCCCTGACCACTGGTCCTGCTAGCTAGGGATCATGGGAGTTGTAGGCCAACAACATCTGGAGGGCTGAGGTTGAGGAAGCCTGACATAAACTATCTATGGGTTAACATGCAGACTGCCAAGAATTTTATTAAAGCCAAAGTTCTCAGGGAAGAAGAAATGACTAACAGGATATTTAAAAGACTCATCCAGGGCCACAACGCAAATGAAACATGTCTCAAGACAAGAAACTGTTGATCTCATTCACATCTGTTACAGAGCTGATAAAATAAATATTTATGCAGATCATCCTTCCCACATTCTGGAAAAGGCAGTATAATGAACACAACCTCTTCTACTTCACAGAGTGAAAGAATTTAGAGCAATGGATCTTGCTTAATCATCTTCCCGCATCTTGAGTTCAGGGACCTGCTTTCATTATACATGGAATCTTCAACCTACAAAAAGTTGGTCATATCCGTTCCTCTTAAATCAGATATGAATGTTCCATGAGTTTCAAAGGGACCCAGGCATGACCCATCAAACATAGCTAGCAATACTGAAGGACGCTTCCGCGCCCCGCCCCCCCAAGCAGCAATGTTGAAGTGTGTCAAGTTTCAAAATTAAAAGTACATTACTATGGTACTCCACTGCCTCTCGAGACAGATATATGCCAACAACAATTACCATGGCTATTTTACACATTGTGTTTTACATAATAGGAGCGGCATTTCCCACCGGCAGAAATATACAAAGAATCAGAGACATGGATTCAGCATAATTAAAATTGGCTTAACTAAGGTTTTTGCACTTTAAGTGCTGAATATGACCTCGCCTTCACTTTACACAATGTCTCGGTATCTTCTGAATTAGCTGATTATCATATCAAAAACCTTAGCACTTGCCTCATCTTATTTTTTAAAAAAATATAATTATATAAAGACAACCTAGCATATAAGCATTTCCTGCACTGCAAGGAGTTAGGACTAGATTACCCCTGGGTTCAATTCTAGGTAATCAGAGCTTTTGCATGGTATGTTCAATATTGCTCAAGTTAAATACACATTTTTAAAAATAGGGTGGTGGGTGTAGCCAACCCTTTAATTAGCAAGTCTTGGGCTTGTCCTTCTTGTGAGTCACTCTTCTCTAAGCTTGCGCATACAAACAAGATTCAGAGCAGACTGCCCTCAAGGTAACTCACACGGTAACTTGAAGGATTATTCTGAGATTACCCTTTGCGAAAGAAACAGAATCATGTTTTAAGGAAACACTCCTGTTTAACCATGTTGGGTCATCATTGATTTCTGGGAACTGTGATTCCCACACATCAGCAGTTGCTGAACTTTATTTTTATACGCAAATGTTTAGCCTGTCCTTCATAACAATAAAAACGACACTGCAATGAAACCAATTCAGTTCAGTGATTAAAACAGGGGGGGAAATCAGCCTGTGCTCAGGGGGCCACGACCTCAGTTCTCCCACTTGCAGCAGAGAATAAATTCCTATTAATTTCCCAAAGGCTGGGGAAGTTGAATTTTTACTTGGCACCCAAATGACAAAAGCAAGGGAGAAGGCACCCCATAGCCACTGCCACGGAAAAGGCCCCGTCCTGTTTTCACCACATAATTCACTACTCCTGGCTGGGTGATGATGAAAAGGGTCTTCCCTCCAGGTATAAGAGCAGCAAGGTTGTTGCAGGGCGAGGCACTAATTCAGGTATTTGGGCCCCCAAGTCATTTAGGGATTCGCAGGTCAACACCAACACTTTGCATTCTGTCCAGAGGGAGCCACTGCCAACATTTCAGAAGGGGTGTTACTTGATTCTGGTTGCACAGGTTAACATTTCGGCCACTGTGGTCTCGAGTAATTGTATATTCCAAACGGTCCTCAAGGGCAGCTCTACAAAGAGTGCATTACGATAGTTCAGCCAGGAAGTTGGGAGAGCACCAGTCACTGTGGCTAGCCCATCCTATAATTTTTCACTGGGCTGTATGCAACTTAGCAGACCCACTGAAAATAATGAACCTAAATTAGTGATCTCCATTAACTCCGATGGGTCTACTCCAGGCACGTCCAACAGGTAGATCGTGACCTACCGGTAGATCACTGGACGTCTGCGGTAGATCACTGGCTCCCCCAAAGAAGCTCAACAAGTTTGTCTCCCGTAAGAAAAGCTCAACGTATTTGCCCTGAACCCCTAAAAAACTGGGCTTTCTTCCTCCCAAAAAATACCTCAACAAATTTGACCTGAACCCCCCAAAACAGGGGGTAGATCACTCCCAGTTTTTAACTCTGTGAGTAGATCATAGTTTCTTGGGAGTTGGCCACCCCTGATCTACTCTGACTAGGATTAGCACTGAATACCACCCAGCATATTCAATTAGTGCATTACTATTCTGAAATTGCAACTTCTGACAACCTGGCTGTTATGGTAAACAGTAATTTCATTACTGCAGTTTCAATTCATCATTATTTCATTATTCTCACCACAGCACATTCAGTCTCCTACAGATATTTAACATTTATCTCAGAAAGCTAAATCTGCCAAAGCCTACATTGTATATTGTTCAAGGGCTATAGCTAATGCTTGTCCTACAACGGACACGGTTAACTTAGATTCAGGTAGGAAGCTGTGTTGGTCTGACGCAGTCAAAAAATAGTCCAGTAGCACCTCAGAGGCCAACTAAGCTTGTTCTAGGTATAAGCTTTATACCCAGAACAAATTTAGTTGGTCTCTAAGGTGCTACTGAACTATGGTTAACTTAGGTTCATCGATTTCAATATGTCTACTCTGAGTTGGTTGGGGATTGGCTATACCCTATTATGAGAAAAGAAGGTAAGGTTTTGCATTCATTCCCCAAATAAGCTCATACTACGGGGAAGAGAAAATAGATTAAAGGCACAAAATGCATGTTAGAGTGGCAATTCATCTAATTAATCCGTTTGACTCCACAATATTATCCACTGTAAGGCTGATTTTTTATTTGTTCTAAGACAAATGAACATTTGGAAGAAAGGTAGAAACAAAACTCCTGTTCATGCCGACACAAATTTCATTTTTATTTTGCTTCTTATTTCAGGATTACTTATTCATCACATACATTCATGCTGTTAACAGCCAACCTGTACTTTCCTACCCATTTTCAACAAAAACTGTATTATCTCCTACCTGTATTAAACACTTGCTGACATCGCTTGCACAGAGAGCCTTGTTGCAGCACATTGAGGATGGGATCCAGAAGAACAGCAGACTAGTAAGTGCCGCCGCTGTACAGTACCACAACCTCATCTTTCTTGAAAGTGGGAGATTTCTGGAACTTTCAGACAGCACTGAAATATAAAAAAGGCAGCAATTGAAGCATCTACATTTACAGAAGCAGAAATTAGGTCTCTTTCATCCTTACCACATGCTCCTAAAACAGTTTTTTGTTTTCTCTGTGGGTTTTCCACACTCAGTCCAGCATGTGTCAAAAGCCGTTCTTGAATAATCCTATACTACTTTTCTACAGACTTCAAACTTTTTAAAAAAGAAAGCTTTACATTTTTATTTCTAATCAAGGTTTAGTGAGAAAGGACAGGACCTGAAATAAATGAATTGTGGCTAAAAAACAGGAGGGGAAAGTTCTAGCTGGGAAGCTGATGCGAAGATTACTGCCTCCAATTTAAAAATAATGAGAACGTGTTTTAACACAACCCCAAACTGTTTCTCAACACTGGGTGTCTAGATGTATACATTTA